AACATTGGCCTAGATTTACATTGGTCTTTTACAGTCGAATAAATGGAATAAACAGGGCCCAGTATAAAATGGGAATTATAACAGAATCCATTAAGAGTGCAAAGTTATAACAAGGGACTTAGAAATAGCTCCATCTCATTATTATTAAGCCAGGGTCCCAGATCTAATCCAGAGTTAGGTTTTCTTTCGTTTGTTTTAAAGATCTGGCAACTTTACAAAAGAAAAGTTGACAAGTAATTCATCCTTGTATTTAAATGAAAAAACTCCCTAAACTGCAGGTATTAATAGCAGTTTGAAGTAATTAAACAAAACCATAAAACCCATGAATTTACCCTAGAACAGTGATGCCGAACCTTTTAGAGACCGAGTGCCCAAACTGCAACCCAAAACCCACTTATGCATCGTCAGGTACTGGGTGGGTGTGGCCATTGGGTGGGTGTGGTCCATTGGGTGGGAGTGGCCCATTGGGTGGGCGTGGCTGCAGTGGTAATGGCAGACTGGGTGGGACTAAAAAGTTCAATCAATCAATTCCAACTTTGCAAGATCTTTTTGTTTTCCCACAAGAAGTTGAAATTGACTGATTGATTGAATCTGGGGCGACAGCGCGCATGCCCACAGAGAGGGCTCCGAGTGCTGCCTCTGGCACCCGTGCCATAGGTTCGCCACCACTGCCCTAGAACTATTTTTAAAACTATTTTTTTCATATATGATTGTGAGAATGTGAAGTGCCATCTCTATATTCCTTTCCTAAAATTTTATTGGAACTTTACTTCCTGTCACAATCAGCTGGTAAGTATGAACAAAAATAAAATCCTGTCTCCCTCCACCAGCTAGGGTTGCAATCCTGTATCTGAATATAACTCACATTGAAAATAGAGACACCCTTTTTAATAGACATAGATAGGATTTAGCGATTACTTGACATTCAGAAGGAAGTATCTGTGTACATACAGTAAATATCTGTGACCATAATGTGCAAATGTGTGCAGATGCTGGAGGGGTTTTGTGCCATCATTTTTCACTCCTAATGACCACATAGATATGATGGATAGATAGAGGTAATAAAGATATAAAACATTTTTTTATGCAAGTTTCATTCCTTAAACATGCCATGCATTTTGAAATGAGCATATACTCATTTCAATCAACAATCTGTGTATTTAGTAGAGAATATCAATTATTTCATGGCATAGCAATTTTTAAAAACAAACGTTTTACAAAGAAAACTTTTCCTGCCTATCCCAACATTTTCCTTTTCTTTTTGGCTTAATATTGAATATCTCTATCTTTTTCTGAGTTAAGGTCCCCAGGCTGTTGCTGGCCCATTTCGTTCCTCCAGCTTCTGAAATTCAAAACACATTTACTTGAAAGCAGCTCCTGCTAAAAAGAATAAGAAAGAAGCAATTAACCACATAACACAGTGATCCTGCTCATTTGGATAAGGTTTGCCTAAGAGAAGACTTCTGTACTTTATAAGTGACCCCGGTTTTTAAAAAGTTATCTACAAATACCCAGCTAGCATTGTTCTGAAAAGCAGTGGCTCTTCTTTTTGTTGTGGAAAAGTGATGGAGAAGAATCAGCAGAACCTGAATGGATGGATGCATGCAGTTTCTACAATATTACATCTCTCCGTCCATCCATCCATCCATCCTCCTGCGTCTATCCACCTTAAGACTCTATGCCCCATTTTTATCATCAGCCAATTAGTGAACCCTGGAGGATATTCTGGGTCAAACTACAGCAAGTGTCTTGAATCCTCATTAACACTAATTAGCACTTGGTAGGTTAATTGGTGGTGAATCTCATCTTTTTTTAATTACTCCAACAAATAGACAGTGGGACCCTGTGGTCAGGATTGAATTATTCTGTTTGTTTTGATGCTCTTCCTCTGAATGTGTCAAGACAGATGTTGCTTGCCCAAGCTTAGGGATCCATTGCTTTGGGGGAAGGAAAGGAATGGGTCTATAAGACAAAAAAAAAAATACGGCTGTTAATTGGGAACTTGGGTGATGCCCTGGAATTTTTATTCCCACCCCACTCTCTTTCCTTGGTAAAATTGGAGGAATTCATCATCTCGGCATAAAAAATCATCATTAAAAGTGAAATTTCCCAATGTTTTTCCTCTTTGTTACTCCATTATATTTCATAAGCTATAGAAACAAAGATAAAGACTTTCTTGAGTCAGATTTATTTCCTAGTAGATACCAGAACATGTCCATGTAATTTTCTGTGCAACAGTACAGAAGTGGTGTGCTATGGCATTCTTCCAAGTTATTTTTTAAACATGAAAAAAAAATCTGATAATTGGTAAACGCTGCCCAATATCCAAGCAGAAAATTACAATTTTCAGAAATATTTTGTAGACGAGGAAGATTTTCCAGATTGTTTTAAAGACCTTTACCCCTTCTGTTATTGTTGTTGTTGCTGTTGTTGTTGTTATTCCTGCATCTCTGTAATTCTGCTATCTTGTTTATGTAAAAACTAGTTCGGGATTGAGGTTTGTCACCTAAAGAAAAGAGCAACATGTACTAGAACAGGGGTGTCAAACTGCCGGCCCGTGGGCCGGTTTCATCATACTGGAGCCGCGCCCACCCCATTGCCGGCAATGGCGAAAAAGCTCCGATACGTTGCGCGGTGTCACGCGACGTCGCGAGTTTGACATGCCTGTACTAGAAGTTATCGTGGGGACTTTTGATGGATTAGGTCAGGGGTAGGCAACCTCGGCTCTTTTACGACTCATGGACTTCAACCCCCAGAATTCCTGATTCAGCATAGCTGACTCATGGACTTCAACCCCCAGAATTCCTGATTCAGCATAGCTGACTCAGGAATTCTGGGAGTTGAAGTCCATGAGTCATAAAAGAGCCGAGGTTGCCTACCCCGGGATTAGGTGATGCTTGATGATATATTTTGTGACACTTTATCGAGACTTGACTGGATATTGTGTATCAGTTCAGTAAGGCTTTATGAATCATTGTCACAAGCAGTCCATTCTCCATGATACCCAAGGAAAAGACACTTGTATGGCTGCAGAGGAATATACTCATAATTTGGGGGCTGATTTAGTGGCAAGAAGAGGACTTTAAATACTGCTTTATACTGAGCTCCTGAAAAATGTATTTATTCTTGCATGCTTTATGCAGGTTTCTGGGCTTATGTTTTATCTTATTTGTGAGAAAATTGCAGATACAGTTTACATGATAAACTATGGACATATTAATGAATTTGTTGGGTTTTTCTACTGGAAGAAAAATGCTACGGGTTTAGGCAGGGCCATTTTCATGACATGAATTGTTTAGAGTACTTCTCTAATATGTTTATTGTTAGTTTAATGGAGAAAGAAAATTATATATTTGAACCAGAAAGGAAACAGAAGAACAGAGTTGTCCTGTATTTGACCGAAGATGGATTAATCCAGCATCCTGTTTCCCACAGGACTTATGAAATGGATACAAATAGACAAGAAAAACTAGTCATGTCCCTCTCAATTAATGTATCCTGTTAAAACCATCCAGAATGGTACCTACCATTACATCTTCAATAACTTCCACAAAACAATTATGCTGAGGGTCAATAAGTTCTTAAGAGCTGTGGTGGTGCAATGGTTAGAATGCAGTATTGCCAGCTAACTCATTATTCACTGTCAGAATTTCGATTCTCACCGGCTCAAGGTTGACTCAGATTTCCATCCTTCCGAGGTCGGTAAAATGAGGACCCAGATTGTTGGGGGCAATATGCTGACTCCGTAAATTGCTTAGAGGGGGCTGTGAAGCACTATGAAGCGGTATATAAGTCTAAGTGCTATTGCTATTCTATCTACATTGACTCTCCCACTGTCAAACTTCACTGAGTGATCACAGGTTTTAATACAATGAGATATTGCAAAAACGTTTCCCCACATTAGCCCTAATATGTATTAAAGAAAACCTTTTTCTCATGGGAACCCTAATCTTCTTTTGGGGGGGGGACGTATTTCAAGACACAGCTCTGGACTACATCTTCCTTTTTTCATTTTCCAATGAGCTCAGCAGAATCCTTAGCAAGTTTTCTTTCTAGTTCAGTATTGCTGCTTTTGTTAAGAATAATAAAAACATAGTTTTTCTTTTATCAGTGTGGCTTCAACTTTCATGTACAGATAGTTCTAGACTTACAGCAGTTCATTTAGTGACTATTTGAAGATACAACTTCACTGAAAAAAGTGACTTATGACCATTTTTCACATTTATGACCATTACAGCATCCTCATGGTCACGTGACCAAGATTTGGGTGCTTGGCAAGTGGTTCATATTTATGATGGTTACAGTGTCCCCAGACCATGTGAACACCTTTTGCAGCCTTCTGACAAGCAAAGTCAATGGGGAAACCAGATTTCACTTAACAACCAGGTTATACACTTAACAACTGCAATGATTCACTTAACAACTGGGGCAAGAAAATGGGGCAAAACTCACTTAACAAATGTCTCATTTAGCAACATATATTTTGGGTTCAATTATGGTCATAAGTCGAGGACTACTTGTATAAGCCCCAGACCCATAAGCATACTGTGCTGTTCCTGTGTAAATAGTTAGCATTTGTGTTTGAGCTGACTGAATGTGCCTGTGCATGTAATGAAAAAACAAAAAAGGCATTTCTTGTAATTAGATCATCATCATCATCATCATCATCATTATATCCAAGATGAGTAGATCTGAGCAGGACCAAATACAAGTATAACACATATATTACCATATTTTATAATACTTTGTGCTGCCTTTTCCTTTTATGGTAGCCTTGACACCACAGTATGCAATGCAATCTTCTGGAACCTTAATGTTAACTTGAAATACTAAATCCGTACATCCACATTAGAATTCATTAAGTTCTTCTTTATTCTAAAAATGTATTAGAAGAATGGAGAGAACAAGTTCTGCTCTGTCACAATGAATTTCAATTTTTTAAGAGGGCGCTTCATGATCTACCTCTAGAGATTGACTTGACTTGACCTTTTGTCTTGCAGCATGAATGAACGTGACCATTTGTTAAAAAGGCTGGGCAGAAAGACCCCTCCATGCCTCTTCCGTGCTCATTCCGTCCAGCAAGGAGTGTCACGTAAGTATTATAACATGTGTAGAGTGTCTCAGTTCTGAAATACCACAGAAGTAAAAGTCTGCCTTGAGCTTGCTTGTAAAAACTCTGTGGAAAAGTACACACAAGCAATACATGGCACTTTATGTGCAAATCAATGTGTAACTTCACAAAACAAAGATTAGATTCCAAGAGGAACTTGATCAAAAAATAATGTACAATTGTAATTGTAATTAGTGTGTGTTTTACAAAAATTTAAGTAGGTCAATGTTTGTAAAATCTTTTCATTTTCCATCTCCCACCCTCTTTATTAGGAGAAACATCCCAATGAAACTATTTCTTTAAACTGTTATTGTATTTGTAAGCTATTGCTAGTGAAGTATAGCACATATGAAAGGGTTTTTAAATGAAGCCTTTGTATGGCAGAATTACACATTTGTTTTACAATTTTCAGATACGGATTGTAATTTTTTTTAACCTGGCAATCTCATTGCATTCTGGTTTAGGTACTACTTCAGTGAAATAAACTTCAGATAATTTCCTTAGCATTAATTAATATACATCTTGATTTTTTTTCCATACGTAACTGCCCCCATTATGTTACTTAGATTGGTTGGGGATCCATGGCTATTTGAAAAACTCAGAAAACAACAGCATAATTATTGCTCCTTGAGATCTGAGTTCCTATTTGCCCTTAGAGAAGAGTTAGTGTTAGATACATAGGCTTCAGAAAGATTTTTTTTAAAAAGTGTTCCAGAGCTAATTGTGTGAATTCTGATTAATTTAATTACCCTTCTTCCATAATTTCTTGCATTTATAACCTTCTTTTCCTTCAAGAATCACAATACCCTATCATCTTCTTCCATGTTATTCTTATAAGGGTTACATATGTTGAGAAAAAGTAACTGTCTAGTGATGGATTTGAAAGAGTACGTGTCTCCCACTAAAAGCAGTTTTGCTCTTACCTTTTAAAATAATGGCTCTTCATGATGTTGCCTTTGTCTCATCCCCAATTCATTAGACAGAAGCAGTTTAAAGGGTATTTAGCAGTTTTTGTTTTGATGTTGGGTTTTTCTTTTTCTTCCAACACAATGTTTTTGCTGTTTTGTGATCAATAATGGTACAATCTACCATCTCCTATTGGATACTGCTGGTTATGAGTAGGTATTCTTTCAGTCACTGGATACCTCCCATTCAACAGAAAAGAGTACATACCTAGCTTTGGAAGAGACATCTGTCCACTTCAGAAAGCATCAAACAGGCATGGCATACTTACATACTTACATACTCCAGATTCTATTGTCTTCTGTTGAACAAATATTTAATCTCTTTTTAAATACAGGTTCAGTGCTTTTTTGAAAGAATGTTTTATTTCTGTTTTTTTTTTTAAAAAAAAAAAGCTAAACTTTTTTTTAGGCAGGATATGATGTCATAATTATTGATTGGTATTTTTGTAAACAACCATGACTCTGAATGAATTTAGTGGCATAAAGAATCAATCAGTCAATCAATTTGATTTGAAAAGATGGGGTTTTTTGGGGGAAGGAATTTTTTTCCCCCTCTGAAGGCCCAACTTGATTTGCCTAATATCTAAACTCTTCCTTTATCAACTTTTCCCCACACACCAAATATAATTCTACTCTCTTAACTTTTCAGAGATTTAGCATGTTTCAGGCAGGCAGAATCCTGAAAACCTTTATATAATTGATTTCCAACATTTTGTTTGGGTTGATAAAATAGAAAGATTTAAATAGAAATCTTCAAATTCTCCCACTGGGTTTGTATTGAGTCTTAATCTGCCATGGAGTGGCCCTCACCCTCCACAAAAGATGGTGTGCGATATAAAATATTCACCCTTATACAGAAACCTGGATTAAGTTTGCTGGAGCTGGACTTGATTCTAGCATTTGGAAAAACAAGGGAGCTGCTTCAGAGAGCTATTACCGGAGGACACTGTTAATAAAAATAGGGAACACAGCTCCATTGCTATACTCAATTTGCCCTGGCCTTTGAAAACTACCCTGCTGCCTTTAGCTATAGAAGAGGAATTAGAATCAGGATTAGAAGAGAAAAAAAAGGTCTTTACACATGCTACACAACATGCCCTGTAAGGCTTTTTGTATTCTTGTATTTCTGCGCATCTCACATATGGGATTCCAGCTCAGAAGTTATTTGCAGATGCTGTATATACAAATGTAAATTAATCACTGATGGTTTGTACCTTCACCTTTTAGTTCTGCACTGGTTCCAGAGTAGATTCACTCCTCTTTATCATGACTGTCCATGCTTGGGTGAAATTTGAGAGACTGCCAGCACAAAAATCCATGCATGAGGGGTGGGGGAGAGAGACTATTCCAGCCCATGAAAGAGCAGCAGAGAAAGACCTTGTGCTCATAGATATTCTCTATAAGGTTGCCAAAGTCGTCCCATAACATTTACCAGGTTGCTGAGCCAAAGAAAGAAGAAAGAAAAGGGCATCCATTCAATTCTGTTAGCTAATCCCTCATAAGTACTAATTATGAAGAATTGTTAAAGGAGCCAGTCCAGGTTCAGAATAATTGCAATCATCAGTCTGTTTTTCTCATGACCATAAATTTTCATTGTAGTTTTAAAGCTCTTTTTAAAAAAAATGTTTAATACTGATCCATAGTCCTCAGTAACTTCAATTACCCCTTGTCAAATAATGTTATAGTACAGAATACAAGGAAGGGGGGAAAATAAACAGTAGATTCCTTTTAACAAACAGCAGCTTACATCAAAAGAACTTTGTATTATATTGGAGATGGACTATCTGGTTTCTATAGGCAACTTTATGTTCGCAGAGAGATCTTTTGCCACCTATTTGGTTCTATGCTCTGCAAGAGAATCCCCCGGCAAGAATCTTGTAATTAAAAAATTAAGCAGGAAGCTAATATTCAGCAGAACACCAGTCTTCAGTATTATTTTTATTTCTAACAACCTTTGGGGGGCTGTGAAGACCTATTGACATTCTTGGGAAATAAAAAAAATTGAGTGGTGGAGAAGGAGAGGAATGGCTGACGGGCTTTGATTTTAAAAAAAGGATAAAAATCTAAAGAAAAAAACTATTCAGAAAACAGACACAAATAAGCTGGAGTGTTAAGGGCTAATTAGGAGTAGCCTGAGTAGTTTGTCTCCTGGTATATGGATATTTTGTGCTTGGCCATATCTGCCGTAGCAGCTATTTTGTGACTAAGCATGCCCTTCTTCTCATGGCTGCCATTTTGAAGGGCATCCCTGGAATGTTCACAAAGGCTATCAGCTGGAAAATATTGATTGTATGCAAACACTCTGTAGGGTAAATTAGTATTTTTTTGGAAAGGAGGATAATTCCAGGGAGACTTGTAAGCTGAAGACAGAAAAGGGGAACTGTAATTTAATGCTGTATCCTGGAGTTTGCCTAATAATAGTAGTAACAATGAATTTGCATAGCACTGGATTCCCAGCAACTCTGGACAGTAAGTAAGACAACATGGAGAAAATAATTTAAAAATACATCAGTAAAAACAGGGGAAAATGTGGCAAAACTGGGCAATATCAAAGAACAGACCCACATTCCCCAGAAAGAGGTTCATCCTCCTTTGCCAAAGAGCTAGGTTTTCAAGGCCCTTTGAAACACCAGCAGAATGGCGGCTCTCTCAGTTGCAAGGGAACTTCATTCCAGAGGTCAGGGGCTATGACAGAGAAGACATAATTGCAGGGTCCTGATAGATAAGGTTGCTTAAGCAAATGGACCCAGAGAGTACCAACTTTGCCAGACTGAATTGGCTGGCAGATGAGAGGTGGTCCTTTGAATAACCAGGTCTATGCCATATAGAACTTTACAGGAAACAACCAGCACCTTGAATCACAATTTGATGCGAACAGGTAACAAGTGCAGCCTATAAAGCAGGAGTATTAATAGGCATACAAAGGCATGCTGCATTCTGGAGTATATGAAACTTTCAGATAGTCTTCAAGGACAGTCCCACATAGAATGTATTGCAGCAGTAAGCTGAAGTTTGGGGAAATATTTAAGAAAATCACTGGAGGGTTGGGTTATACTACATTCCAGATTCTGTTGTAAATAGTATGTTCTGTTTTTAGCATATTAAAGAATAGGAGTGCAATTTTAATGGCTTTCCAAAATGCTTGACATGGTTGCCATCCTAAGCATTCAAATGAAAATTGATAGCAGGACTAAGTTTGATTCCTTACGCTGGCACCTGTTTGACATCAGTGTCAAATAGTGGGCTGCACAGTTAAATCCTGCTATATGGATTTTTCATTCTCAGCTACTGTATGAATAACAACAACAACAACAAGAACACTTTATGGTTTCCTGTGCATGAGAAAGTTTTCAAAATACACTGGAAGCATCTTAGGATTCATCTCAGAGCCAAACTATGTAAACCACAAATTATGACAAAGGCCAATTTACAGAGCTGAATCTTTTCTTTCTTTCTTTCTTTCTTTCTTTCTTTCTTTCTTTCTTTCTTTCTTTCTTTCTTTCTTTCTTTCTTTCTTTCTTTCTTTCTGCAGTCCCCAGTATCAGCAGATAAGCCCATCTTCCTTCTCTTCACCTGCCCTGCTGGACATCTTTCCAACCTGTAATGATTGCAGGTGATCAGAGCAATGGAAGTGATGACTCACAGAGACAGTTCATGCCTTGAGCACTTCCTGAAAGCTCAGGAGAAAGCAATGGACACAACTTTCATTGTGATGCATGAAAAGAGAAGGATGCCACAGTTGCAAGCACAGAGAAAATTGGACAGGAGGGGAGGAAAAGAGAAGCTAACTCTAGGACACGGGTGTCAAACTTGCCCTGTCACGTGACGTGTCGCGACGTATCATGACTTTTTTCACATTGGGGTGAGCGCGGCCTCCACATGATGCAACCAGCCCGCGGGCCGGCAGTTTGACACCCCTGCTCTAGGAAAAGTCAGGGGATCCCCTCTGCAGCAAAGTGCTTCAGAACTTCTTTTTAAATTTAGAAGATTGGGTGAGAGATTAAACAGCATTTAATTCAGTATTTATTTTTAATCTGTACTCAGGTTTTTAAAAAAATCATGCATAGGTAGCCTTAGCGTTTCAAACAGCTAGGGATAGAAAAGTGGGATTGAAGGGTTGATGGCAGCATTGATTAGTTCTGAAAACTAATGGAAAGGGGAGGTTAACGCATAGCAATTTAATTCTTGTCTACTACAAAAAGTTTTTCCATGTTTATCACTTGCTCAGGTCTTAAACTTCAGAAGCTCTATCTTACAAAGTCAGTACTACATTAAAGATTTTTATTTGGTCCACAACTGAAAATCTATGGATCATTCCTTATCTAAGACATTTATTGTCAGGGGTCATTCTTTCTTTTTTTTCTTCCCATGATTGCAACCTCTGAATCATTCATGGTATAAATGGTCTCCTGATGCTATTCTTTCTCAATGTTTAATTTTTCCCCAGGCTGCACTTAAAACAATGACCACAGTTGTTATATATTCCTGGATAAAGTAATAGACAAAATGAATGAATGTGTATATGTGTGTGTGTGTGTGTAGGCATTTGTGTTTTTTTAATCTGTCCTTGAGTTGTAACTACCATTGGAACCAGAACTTCCATCGCTAAGCAATGCAGTTGTTAAGTGAGTTATGTCCAATTTTACAGCCTCTGTTGCTGCAATAATTAAGCAAATCACCACAGCCGTTAAGTGAATCATGGTTGCTAAGTGAATCTGACTTTCCCCATTAACTTTGCTTCTTGGAAGCCACCTAGGAAAGTCACAAAGAGCGATCATGTGACCCTGGGACACTGCAAATGTCATAAATATCCATTAGATGCCAAGTACCCGAATTTTGATCATGTAACTATGGGGATGCTGTGATGGTCATAAGTGCGAGAACCCATTGCAAGTCACTTTTTTTAGTACCATTGTAATTTCAAATGACCACTAAATAAATGGCTGTAATTTGAGGACTACTTCTGTGTTTGTGTGTGTGTGTGTGTGTGTGTGTGTGTTTCAGCTGAGATTGGTTTCAAAGGATATTTGTCCCCTGTTCAGTTGAAGTACTATCCATACATCTTTGCAGCAAGACCTTTACTGCCTCCATTGCCAATCCCTGTCCTATTTGTATGGTCTCCATTTCAAGTCACTGCAATCAATTGATTTCCCTCTAACTTCTTATTCCATCTTTGGAATTTCTCAGTTTAAGGCAGAAGAGCCTACTTTAATATCACTAAACTACGGTTGACAAGTTTGTTTCATGTATGAGATGAGGACAAGTTTAATACAGTATCATGGAGTGACAGTAGAACAAAAGTGTTACCAGGAGATGCTTTTGCTCTGTATTATTGAAAGTGAGGAAAGGCCTAAAATCTGGTTATGCAATAAGAGAGAAACAGAAGAAAAAAAGAAAAGAAATTACAACAAAATAAAACAAAATAAAAATTTACCAAGCAGGATAAGTGTGAAAAAGAGCGTTTGCACATCACCATCATGTCCAGTCCCTGATCTCCCCAATTTCCATTCTTTTGTTCATACCTGCCAATGTCCATATGCTAAGAATAAGGAGCAAAAATTATGCTCTGCCCCTTGGGGACCAATCTTAGATTAACAAAAGATCCTTTCATCCCTACTTGATGCAAAAGGCATATAACTCAATTGCTTACACAAATGCATATACCACATCTCTCTGTGTTGTGTGGAATTTTAGTCATATGGAGAAAAAAAAATCTATTAGTTCCTGTGAGGGAAAGCTAAAGCTTCCAGCCTAGGATGTTTAGGGGACAAACTTCACTGATATAATACAAAATAAAAATGCGAACACCAGGAGAGTATAAGACAATTAAAAGTTTAGTAAAAAACCTTTAAAAACTTTTAAAAGCATACAATCATAGGGGCCAAGCTTTCGTCGGATCCTTCCGACATCCTCAGGGCACAAAGTCAATCAATGGGAAAAGCAGTTATAAATAAACCGACGCCTGCATCCGGGCCCTAG